ACACACAGGACACACACACAGGACACACAGGACATCACAGGACATATAGGACACACACAGGACACACAAATGCAGCACACACCCACAGGACACAGAAAATACACATAGCACACACACACCACACACACACCACAAATACCACACACACCACACACACACCACACACACACCACACACACACCACACACACACCACACACACACACACACCACACACACCACACACACACCACACACACACCACACACACCACACATACACACACACACCACACACACCACACACACACACACACCACACACACACCACACACACACCCTGACTGCAGGGGCCCGGGGGCACACAGCCTGCGGGTAGCAGGGCTGACAGTGACTTCTGCTTGTGTCCTGCCCAGGGTCCCCTGGCCTTGGCCCAGGAGTGGCCGTGCCTAGGGCCCACGGAGCAGGGTGCTGGGCCGCCCGCCACCCACCCTCAGTCCTTCAGAGCCGGCGGCGACCACTGGGAGTGGTGAAGCACGGCCCGCCCAGCCGTCCACCGCTCACCCCCGTCGTCCAGCAGCACGTTCTCGGGTTTGAGGTCGCGGTAGACGATCCGTCTCCGGTGCAGGTGCTCCAGGCCGCTCAGCATCTGGGCCGTGTAGAAGACGGCGCGCGGCTCCGGGAGGCCGGGACTCTCCTCGTCCACGCTGTAGATGTGGTACCTGGGCGGAACGTGCAGAGCACCGGCCCCTGGCCACAGCCTGCCCGGGACAGGCCCAGGCGGCCGGAGGCCCCGGCTCCCTGCACCCCACCACGACGTCCAAAGGCAGGAGCTGCGGTCAGGGGCCTGTCCTCCCAGAGCCCAAGGCCACTTGCCAGTCCACACGGGGGCCAGTGGCCGCCTGGTCCCTGCTGACGGGCGTGGCCCACGGCAGGCACGAGTGGTCCTCACCCAACCTCGAGCCCCCGGTGGACTTGCAGCGTCCCCTGCCCAGTCCTGCCTGAAGTCCACCCTTCCTTGTCTCAAGAGAGGCCCAGCCCACAGCTCTGAGGAAGCGGTGCCCTGGGCAGCGGGGGGGTGGCCAGGCCCCAGCTGAGGGCAACAGGAGGGGCAGGCAGCAGCTGCTAGCCCTGCACGTGCGGAGGGGCAGGTGGCCCTGAGAGCCGCCCACGTCTCCTCCCTGGGCCCTCGAAGGCTGCTGTGTGGCCCTCACGTCCCTCACTGGAACCCAAGCAGCCAGAGAGAAGGGCCCTTGGTGTGAGGGCGGGTGCGGGAGGCAGTGTGGGCCTCCCAGCCAGGGCCCCTGCGGCTCCAGGGCCGGCCCAGGCCGGGTCCAGGACAGCGTGTCCTGGGCATGGGTCCCGTTTCACAGACGAGGACACCAAGGCCCAGACCAAGCTCCAGGCCCTGGCCCCCGACCTTCCTGGGAGCCCAGCTGGCCTCAGAGTCGCCCAGGGACGGGTCAGGGCACACACGCTGCTTGGCTGCACACACCGCCAGCCCACATTGGCCGCTCCCTCCCGGGCGGGCACCAAGGGCGTCGATCACCACGCACCGGCCCCTGGTGAGGTGTGAGGTGCGAGGCCCTCGGGCGGCCTCAGGTCAGGGAGCAGAACCAGGAGGCACCCATGACCAGCCTGGCCAGGGCCCCTGGGGGTTGCTGTCCTGGTGTGGGCTGAGACAGGCACCAGCTCGGGAGGACAGAGGGGCTTCTGATGGGGCCCCAGCAGATGTGCTCAGCTCGCGGGCCACCAGACTGGACGGCCCTCTACCTTAGGTCACCTCCATTCATGATGGTCATCACCAGGCAGAGGTCAGTCTTGGTCTCGAAAGCATAGGCCAGAGAGACGATGAACCTGCTGTGCACTTTGCTCAGGATGGTCTTCTCGACCATGGCACCCTGGAGGGCAGAGGAGGAAACCAGAGGCATGTGGAGGGGCCCAGGCCGCCTGCACCAGTGGCCACAGGCCAGACTCATGCAGGACTGTGTGCCCAGTTTCAGAAGCAATTGAAGTACCTTGAGACCCTTTCCACACACCCAGCACACAGGGGGACAGGCATGAGAAGCCACCTCGGACAGGGCCTGGCGCCTCTGGGGCATCTCCAGCCAAGGGGGTCCCACCACCCAGCCGACCGCCATCTCCCTGCCGCGGTGCTGCTCTCCCTCTCAGTGCTTCCTGGGTCCAGCCAGCTCCCCTGCTGCCGCCCTGCCCCGTCCTGCCAGCCTCTGCCCAAAGAGCTCTGCTCCTCTGTCTGGCTTTGTCCTGAGACCACGGGGGGCATCGGGGTGCAGGGCAAGACGGGCCGGGCTCGCCTCAGCCTGCAGCAAGACCCTCAGGAGGCTAAAGGTTAGACACGAATGGCCTGGCATGAACTGCCCTTTCAAGATTGCCACGGACCACCCTGGGAGTGGTCACGTCCAGCTCACAGCTGCGTCCTTCTAGGCTGAGCAGCTCCCACTGACCCTGCCTGGCTGGACACTCTGGTGCCAGCAGAGGAGCCGGCAAGACGCTGACTCCTGTCCTCCCAGGAGGCCAACCCCGCACCCCAGCCCCGGGCCAGGCCAGTCCGAGAGACGTGTGGCTCACAGAGCCCGGCCTCCCTCAGAGCCCGGCCTCCTTCCCCAGCACCTCCCCTGCTGCAGCGTAAGCGGGCTTTGAACTTCCAGAGGGGGCCGACTCCAGAGAGCAATCCCTGACAGGCAGGGTCCACCGGCCAGGAACCCAGGAAGGACCACAGGCCCCGGGACCAGCGGCGAGGGCAGCGTGCAGCTTGGCGGGTCCTCCAGGGCCTGCAGCCTCCATCTGGACCACGAGAGCAGGCCCTGCTGCTGGTCGCCGTGCCCACCTGGTACCCCTTCCTCTTCTTCAGACGCTTCTTGTTCAGCTTCTTGCAGGCGTACATCTTGCCGGTGGCCTTCATCTGGCAGGCAGACACCTCCCCAAAGCCACCCTTCCCCAAGACCCTGAAGTCCAGGAACCAGTCCTCCCCGACAGGCTGGGCCTCCAGCCACTTCCACTGCAGGAACCTCAGGAAGTGCAGGCTGCCCAGGTACTCCTGGAAGGGGGCCTGGCTCAGGTGCTCCAGCGTGGCCTGCAGCAGCGGCCGGAAGAGCCCATCCTGGCCCCCCTCGGCCGCCCCCTTCACCTTCGACATGGTCCCCTCATCCAGAAAGCTGCAGAAGAGCTCGGCCTGGGGGTCCAGGTACGTGGCCACAATGCTCTGTGCCTTCCGCGGCCGCAGGTCACCGTCCACCGTGTCATAGTCCTCAATGTCCAGCCAGAGCCCCACAGCCGGCTCGTGCCTCTGGTCAGCCCTCAGAAACTGCTGGAAGAGCCGCTTGCCGATGGGCTGCTCCCGGCACACACTCTGGAACTCCGAGTCGAGGCTGTCCCGGAGGCCCTCGCACTTGGACAGCGGGGGCAGCCGGAGCTTGGCCCGGTACTTCTTGTCCCTGGAAGACGGGGCGCTGCTCCCGTCAAAGCTGCCCCGGGCAGCGATGAAGGCAGAGTTGGCCACCACGGTCTCCAGAGACCCAAAGTCCATCCTGGCGCTGCCTCCTGCCTGCTCAGGCCTGAGGAGACATCAGCCAAGGCCAGGCCCTGGGCGCCACTCGCTGCCCTTGGCCTGCAGCCGGCTCCTGCCCTTGGGGGACCAGGAAGAGCTCCCAGCAGTGGTGAGGACGCCCAGGAGGAGCCGGGGCTGACACAGCACTGACTAAATCCCAGCCCCGGGGCAGGGAGGGCACCTTGGGGGTGGCTCTCAGGTCCAGAAAAAGAAATCCCCTAAGCTGCCCCAAAGCGGATCAGCCAGGGGCAGCTCAGCCCCCTGCAGCCAGACACCTGCGTTTCCCACAGGAAGGACAAACCCAGGCCCCAGGGGGCTGCGCCTGTCCTCGTGGGACCCTGGCCAGCAAGGACAGGGAGTCAGTGGAGGTGTCCTCTGTGAGGATGGCCGGTCATCCGTTTTTATGCTAAGGAAATTACAGCAAGAAGCAAACCTCCAGCCATTAGGAAGTGAGAGAGCAGAACCCCACAAGAGCTGTCCAGGGGTGTCCAGGGGTGAGGGCACGGCACACCGAGCGGGCAGCTCCAGGTCACTTTCTCCTCAGCAGGGTTGCTCAGGTGACGCCAGCCAGGGAGCCGGAGACTCTGAGCCGCCCAGGCACAGCCCGAGTCAGGCGGGAGAGGACGGGCGAGGCCGGGACCTGGGCAGCGGCCCACCAGGGCACACCCAGGCCCCAGGTGGGCACAGCTGACTCAGGGAGGGCCCCTGGGACACCTTGAGACGTAGCTGGGACACTCAAGGGCGTGCAGGTCCTCCTGGGAGGACAGGCAGCCCCCAGCTCCAGGGGCAGGCTCCCCAGGGTCCCAGCCTACAGCAGGGCTCAGCGTGGCTTGCAGAAGGAGACGGAGGGCGGTTGTTCCACTTACAGAGGGCGGGGGACAAGGCCAGGAAGGGAGAGTGCCCACGCCCAGGGAGGCCGGAGGACTGTGTGGCCAGCCCGCCTCGTGCAGGTGGGCTGGGGTGCTGCCCGCCAGTCCTCGGGAACCTCCCGGCTGGGCGGCCACGTCCCCATGGCCTCCGGCAGGACTGTGGCAGGTGCTAGTGAGTAAATATTTGAGGTGAACAGCATCGTGTCGTCCCCGGGAGACTGCACTAGGTCAGCCCTGCCCCCTAGGAGGAGGTGACCTTGGGCCAACCACTTTAACGCCTTCCCGTCACCAGGGTCAGAGGGGACAGGGTTCTCATGGTATTGTTAGTACGGGTGGCCTCTGCTGCCTTTGCCCCGGTGTCCGAGCCAGGACAGTCACCCAGAGACCCTGCAGGAGCGTCCCATGTCGGTGGGCCTGGCTGGTGCAGACCCGCCTCTCTGGGGGCTCCCAGGGGACTCCCATGTCATGGCCCACATGAGACCCAGGGCTGAGGGAGAGGACTGCACTAGAGGTGAGCACAGAGGTGTCCTATGGAAAGGACCCGCTGCCCCTTGCTCAGCCACAGAGCACCCAGGATGACGGCAGGTTCCTGCTGCCCCAGGGTGACTTGGACCTAGCAGACGTGGCCGAAAGGGGCAGCTGTGCCTCGAGGCCAAACTCCTGGTCTCTGGAAGTCCTTTCTCCACTGACCCTCTGGTCGGTAGTAACTGCTGATTGGCAGCCGTGGCAGGAACCACAGAGAAGCCCGGAGCACAGCACAGCAGGGCAGCGGGGCCCTGTGCTGCCTCGGTGGCCACACGCCTGCCCTGCCCACCCCGTGGACCACCAGTCTGAGGCACTTGGGCATTTCGAGGATGCTCTCTGCGTGGATTCACACAGTGGCCCCCAGACCAGCTCTGCACTCACATGGCTCTGGGGGGCCATCTAGGTCGGCGTGTACGACAGACCCCTGGACCCAGAGCAGGCCTGCTCGACCCTCTGTCCACCTGGACCCAGAGCAGGCCTGCTCGACCCGCAGTGTCCAGCTGCCCGAGGGGAGCCGCTGTGGACATGGTGAGTGTCCCTGAGTGTCACTCGGGTCATGTGGCAGGGGTGTTTGCTCTCTGGGCAGTGGCCCACCGGGGCCGCCCACCAGGCCTCCCTCATGGCCACAGGAGCTCTGCCTCTAGAGTCCTGCAGGTGCTGGTGGCCCTGGTGGCTTCGACCTGCACTTCCTGAGGGCTCGTGCTGGTGTCCTCTGTGCATGCCCTCGCTTCCACCTGGAGGGTCCACTTTCTGTGTCCCGGGCAGGTCCCTTGTCAGCGTGTGGTTTCCAGGTCTCCTCCCGGCCGCTGCCTCTGTGGTCTCCTTACGTAGGCTCACCGAGCAGACGTGGCCCACGTTCCTTCTCACAGGCTGGGCCTGCTGTCCAGCCCGACTCCCCCAGCCATGGCTCCTGAAGACCCTCCCGTGTCTTTCCTGACGTTTCACCTAGAGTTCGTGGCCCAGGGGCTTCGTGTGGGCAAGGCGTGAGGCTGGGGTCCAGTGTCTGCTACAGGCCCAGCTGCCTGCACCTGGAGCAAGGCTATTCCATGCCTCGGATGTCCCCTGCACCTCTGCAGGAGTCGGTGGGGCGCATTTGCATGGGTCTGTCCGCCCTGAGCTGCACCTCCCCTGGCCTCAGGACACAGTCCTGGTCACTGGGGCTGTAACCAGCTCTGGAGCTGGGCAGACCTATCCTCCCACTATATTCTTTGTTCTCAAAAGCATTTTCAAAGAACTCTTCAGAATGTAGAAGAAAATATCCGACCTATTCTAGATCCTTTGGCTTTCTGTATAAATTCTAGAATGATTCCTGTCTCTATCTCCAAAGTGATCTTGCTTGGATTTTGTGTGTGAGTGTGAGCGGGGATAACAAGGATTGAACTCAGGGGCCCTCGACCACTGAGCCACATCCCAGCCCCAGTTTCTGTATTTTTTTTAGAAACAGAGTCTCACTGAGTTGATTAGCTCCTCATTTTGCTGAGGCTGGCTTTGAACTTGAGGTCCTCCTGCCTCAGCCTCCCGAGCTGCTGGGATCACAGGTGGGCGCCCCCACACCTGGCTTCTTGCTTGTACGTTGATAAGTTGTTTTAGGCCTGTACATTGACTGGGGAGCATCTGCGTCTCTACTGAGCTGGGACCTGGGCCTCCATGAGTCCGGCCTCACTTCCTCGCCCACCCAGAGGGTGTCACCTCCGTCGTGCTCGCGTCTTGCCAGATCGGCACCTTGGTGTCCTTCGGGCTGGAGCCCTGTAACGGCTCTGCACTTTCATTCTAGCGTGCACACGCCTGTTTCTTACCCTGCAAACACAGCTGGCTCTTTACATTGGTCTGGAGTCTGGCAACCTGGCCCACCACTGACCGGCAGTCCCCTCCATGTGCCAGCGCGCCTGCGGACGGGGCAGCGGGTCTCCTGCCCCCGAATGCTCTCCTTTCCTCCCCGTCCGCTGTGCTGACAACAACCTCGGTGCAAAGCTGAGTGGGAGCCCGTCAGCGGGTGCCCTGCGGCGGCCCCGCCTGGGGCAAGCAAGCCCACCTGCTCCCCCTCCTGTTGAGGCGTGGGTTGATGCTTTTAGTCAAACTGAGTGGACTCCCTGCTCCCACGTGGCTTCCTGCCTCGGGGGCTGAGTGCAGTCAGATGCTCGTCCTCATCAATGGACACAGTCATGGGACTCGCTCTCTGTCCTGTAAATGTGCTGTTTCTTGGATCGATTTCTCTACGTCAAACCCGCTTGCCATCCCACTTGAGCACAGAGTGTGCTTTCATACATTGTTGGATTCAGTTGCCCACATTTTTTTTTGTTTTATTTTTATTTTTTATTGATTTTATTTTTTTAAATACACGACAGCGGAATGTATTACAATTCTTATTACACATAGAGAGCACGATTTTTCACATCTTTATATAAAGTGTGTTCACGCCAATTCATGTCTAGTTGCCCACATTTTAAAGGACATTTGTGTCCTTGTTCCCGAGGGCCACTGGTCCACCGTCACTTGTCTGTTATCTGGTTTTAGGATCCGGCTAACACTGGTCTTAAGTTGGGTTGGGAAGTATCTATTTTCTAGAAGATAGAGTGAAGAATGGGTGTTGCCAGCTGTGGGGGCGCCCGCCTGTCACCCCAGCAGCTGGGGAGGCTGGTGCAGGAGGATGCGAGTTCAAAGCCAGACTCAGCAAAAGCGAGGCACTAAGCAACTCAGTGAGACCCTGTCTCTAAATAAAATAGAAAATAGGGCCACCTGAGGGTCGAGGGCCCCCGAGTCCCATCCCCACGCAGGAGCTGGGTGACACCCCTCTCACTCCTGACCCTGGTGACGGTGTCTCCTCTCTTACGAGGCGTTTGTCAACCCTATTGATCGGGGCAAAGGAGCAGCCTTTGTCTCATGGACGCCCTCCACCGCTCTCTGTTTCACGTCCACTGGCGTCTCTTCTGTTTCTCCTGCTTGGTTTGGCCCTGGAGTCTCCCCCAGGTCCTGTGCTGAAGGCCTGGGCCCGTGCAGCAGGCTCCAGGGGCTGCAGGGCGTGGCGGATCCCACAGGCTCTGACTCAGTGGTGGCCACGGGGGTCACAGGTCCACTTTGTCCTCTGCAGTGTCCCTGTTCCCTTGTCTTTCCTCAGGTGTCCCAGTTTTCCTGGCCGTGGGCCTGTCTGTCGTTGCTGTGGGCTGGTCATCCAGGTCCATGGATCTCACGCCCGTTGCCTGACGTTGGCAGGTACAGATGGCACTTTCCTTTTCATCCTCCTGGTTCTCAGAGTGACAAGCCATCACCTACTGAAACCTCACCTCCCACGTCACTGGCTCCTCTGTTCGGTCTGGTCATCTCTGACTCGGGCATCACAAGGGGCTTGGCCAGGACTGTGCACAGGTACAAGTCCAGGTCCTCCTTGTGAACTAGGCAGGTGGGAATTCAGGCTCCTCGTGTGGTCTCCACTGACACCACTGGGTGGTGGCCAGAGCCCTGACTCTGCACTAGGCCAGCCAGAGACGGGCAGCAGGGTGGGCACGCGGTCCCCGTCATCCGAGCCCAGAGCCAGGCTCTCAGAAACGTCGCGGGGAACCTGCTGAGGTCTAAGGGGCGTGTGCAGAG